CTCTTAAGGCTGCTCTCAGGTTACCAGGCCAATGCAGCAAACACCATTACCCACTGAGTAACCTCTGAGTGCTCCCTGAATTTGCATAAACTATAATAGCAAAATTTTAAACCTTAACAAAACAGAGTAAATCTCAACAGTTAGAAGTTAGATTTTTGCTGAAGGCTCATTGCCAAAATTGCTAAAGATCTCTTTCTCACATATAAACGAGAAAATGTTTTAGAAAGGACAGGAAACAAACCACTGGAATCCTCCTTAAGTCAAGCAATTTATTCAATTTACAGAGACATAAGCCTGGACATACCCGAATTTCTTTATTTATGGACTTGGGGAGAAACAGTTGGTCTGGTTTTTTTGTTGTTGTTGTTGCTGTTGTTGTTGTTTGTGGGTTCTTTGTTTTTTTTTTTTATTACTGTTCTATTGGTATAAAGAAACTCCATGACCAAGGCCAATTACAGACATAAGTGGTAACTGGGAAGTAAGAAGTAAATGAGGATATGCTTATAGTTCCAGAGGGTTAGTCTGTGACACCTTGGCAGAGAGCACCGTCGCAGGTAGGCACAGAACTTCATCAGCAGCTGAGCGCTTACATCTGATCCACAAGATAGAAGCAGAGAGAGAAACTGGGACTTTCAAAACCTCAAAGCCCACCCTCAGTGACACACCTCCTCCAAAAAGGCCACACCTCCTAATCCTTCCTAAACTGTCCACCTCCTGGGAACCGAACATTCGAATAGATGATCCTATGAGGATCATGCTCATTCAAATCACCACGGTTTGCTTAGTTTGGGTAGCAGTAGCAAAGCACCTCAATGTAGCCTAAGCAAAAAATGATTCCAAGAATTCAAGTGAAGACAAACCCTAGGCCGTTGGTGGAGTAGGAATTAACAACAAAAACCCTATGGTGCCCTCCTATGGTTTCTTGCCTCTCTGGTTCTCTACGCCTGTCATGGTTATTTTTGTTTCTCTTTCTACATTGTGTGATGTGGATGGGTGGCTATCCAACTCCATGGACATTTTAGTTTTTTTCTCATTTGTAGCTTAAAAAAAAAAAAAAAAAAAAACTAGCCAGGTGACTTGAGTGTCAGTTCCCTAAATACAGACTCTCATAATTTTGGATGAATAAAGTTCTTTGTTGACCAATCCATAGCAACAATGAAGAAGAACAGACAGAGGTCCCTGGGATGAATTTGCCAGAGACAGAATTAATGTTAATGGAACAGATACCACAATTTTTTTTATACTTCTCACATTTTGTATCTTAATTTTTTCTCGCATGGAAGCAGAGTTATCATAGTGTTTCCATTCTATCAAGTATTGAAAGTACTCAAGATTGAGAAGTCTATTTCCCAGTGAGATTTTAGTAGTCTCAGTAAAAATTAAGACTATCATACTTAGCCATTATGAAATTATTGAGGCTGACTAAATCTGCATGCTACCTGATCCTTATGTAATTTCCTCCGTTTCCCAAATAGATTGGTGTTTTCAGTGTAATGCAATTAGAACTGAAGAAAATCCGCAGAGGAAATGTGTTTTCTTATTTCATTACAACCATGGCTGTGTCATAGCAGACTGACTAAATGAAAGGGACATACTCAAATCACTGTAGGAGCCGATGAGCAAATTGAATAGTTTTGGTGTGTTCACAGAATAACTGATTAAACCATGGAACCTTGAGACAGGCAGGCTGCATTACCCAAGAATGTCACATAGCAAGATCCTCTGATCTATTGCCAGAACCAGACAGGGATGAAGGCAGACAGCAGACAGCATTTATATCCTAAATTTTCCGTTGTTCAAAAGAATCTGAACAAGCCTTAGTGATAGAAACACCTATTACATTGAGCTTTGTGAGGGTTTTATTCATAATTATTTTGTGTTTTGGTGATGTATAAGTACATAAAATATACTCAATACCATAGAATTTAACATGAAGCTTCACAGCTTCTGTTTTGAAGTCTAAGCCAAACCATATTTAAGTTTATTAAGTTGTACAGATTTGTGGTCTGGGTAATTTTGGTGTGTGAGGTTCTTATTTCTTCACAGTTTTTTTTAAATAATAAAGCTTATTTAGATAGAATATATATAAATAAAGAAAAGGGTTTATAGGAATACAATTACTCTAAAAAACCACAGTTTCCAGTTTTCTTAAGGTAAACAATTCCTCAGAATGAGCTAAACAAAGCACATATGATTTGCTATCAAAGGGCATGCATCTGCCTGTTGCTTCTGTGTGCTTGCAAGCAGCAGAAGACTCTCCCTCGGTTATTTCCATGCATCAGAAGCATCTTAATTCACATAAACAAATTGATTTTATTAAATTTTTATTGAAATTTGATTGAAATGGACAATCAAATACCACTCACCTGAGGAAAACCAGGACTTGGAAGGAAGAACTGAGTTGGGATATAGGGGAGTGCTGACCTAGTGTTGTCTAAGGCCTTGGGGATTCAATCCTCAGCAAGGAGGAAAGGAGGAAGAATGACTAGGAGGAGGAGAAAAAGCAAAAGGGATAGGCAAGGGGAAGACAGGGGAGAGGACGGGGGGGGGGGGAAGGGGAGAACAGGGCAAGAGAGGCAAAGGAAGGTAAAACAAGACAAAAGCTAATAAAAAAAAATAAGAGTGACCAGAACAAATGATCTCACAGAAACAATCCCCTGAGTAAAATTGCAGTTTCAAATTCAAGTATGTGTTGCTCACACAAACAAAAAGCAAAAGGTACTCAAGAAACTACTATGGAAAAATAAAAACTATATAACCAGACTTCTTAGATATTCAACTGGGAAATTTCTAAATATGTGTTTAACTGCTTGGGACATGTCAAGAAATCCCTTGTTTACACAGAGCCCAAGACCCAGAAATTAAATATATATATTTAATTTTATATGTATATAATTAAATATATATTTAATTTAATATATATATACTGTCTATGAAAAAAATTAAGAGAAATGGAGATTTATATCATAAGATCCAAGAGTTTTAACAAATGCATCAGTTCTAAAGAAATATATACTGTTAATTGGATACAAGTTAGAAAAGCTATGTCTAGTCACTAAGAAAATAAATATGTAATAGCATGTAATAAAGGCAAGTGCAGACACACGACGGGCTGTCTACAAATATGTGTCCTTTGAAAACATTCTCTTGGTCCTTCATAAATATTTGTTTCCCCAGTCAGGTGGGGTGGACCCAGAGCTGCACACATGATAGGCTACCACACACATGATATAGGCTATAGACATAGTTTAAAATGTAAACAAAGAATGGAGAAAACAAAGCCACAGGCGCTAAGAAATAGTCTACACATTTAAAGCTATGATGAAAAGAATCCCTTAAGGTTTGGCTCCATGGCATGTGAGAAGAAAAGCAGTCAGAACCAGGACGTGAGCGTGGCAGGCCCCGAAAACTAACGGGTAAACTTCAGCATATAGCATCCTAAGAGGCACCATCAACACTGAGATGCTGACATAGAGGACAGAGATTCTACTGGCAAGGAAATGAAAATGGGAAACCCATGGGAGGACAAAGATTTGTGGATGGAAATCGTGGATCCACTATGAAGAAAATCACAATGCAGTTCGATTCTGAGCAATGAATCCTTTGTAAGGTAAAAAATCCACTTGTCCTTCATTCATAAAATGTTGACAATCAACAAAATGGGAGAGCATTGTTCAAAGTCCTGTGATAATTATAATATTGAAAATGTTGCTTGCTTCTGTATGGTTATATAAAGTCTATAACTTAAATTGGTGATTAATTTACTGGTATAAATTTTAAATAATATAAACTTGGTGAAAGCAAATAATGCTACAACTAACAGATCTAAAGAGGTGTGAAGGAGAAGGGAGAAGAAAGAGATGTTAATTTTCTTATCTTCAAAATACTATCCTGAGTGAGGTAAGTCAGACCCACAAAGATAAACGTGGGATGTACTCACTCATAATTGGTTTCTAGCCATAAATAAAGGACATTGAGCCTATAATTTGTGATCCTAGAGAAGCTAAATAGTTATCCTCCTGGATATTAACCTTCATCTGGCGATGGATGGAGATAGAGACAGAGACCCACATTGGAGCACTGGACTGAGCTCCCAAGGTCCAAATGAGGAGCAGAAGGAGGGAGAACATGAGCAAGGAAGTCAGGACCGCGAGGGGTGCATCCACCCACGGAGACAGTGGGGCTGATCTACTGGGAGCTCACCAAGGCCAGCTGGACTGGGTCTAAAAAAGCATGGGATAAAACCGGACTCTCTGAACATGGCAGACAATGAGGGCTGCTGAAAAGCCAAGAACAAGGGCACTGGGTTTTGATCCTACTGCATGTACTGGTTTTGTGGGAGCCTAGGCTGTTTGGGTGCCCATCTTCCTAGACCTGGATGGAGTGAGGAGGACCTTGGACTTCCCACAGGGCAGGGCATCCTGACTGTTCTTCGGGCTGGAGAGGGAGGGGCAGGGGAGGGGGAGGGAAATGGGAGGCGGAGGCAGGGAGAAGGCAGAAATTTTTAATAATAAAAAAACATAGATAATATTAATCCTGATGGACAACAACAACAAAAATGTTTAATAGTAATCCAAATTGGGGGGGAATAAAACAAAAATAAGAACTTTCAGCCAGATAATTGACAAGCTTCTCTATAAAAACTAAGGAGATATTTCAGGTTACAAATTGGGAATTTGTAACCGTGAATTATTTTGGAGTTGTAAGTGTGAAACAGAAGTATGGACAGACTGTCTACCCCAACTGTAAGGCCGACAGCCCTGGAGATCATTAGGCAAGAGACCTATTCTTTGCAGTTTGTGTTTTATTTCTTGTGTGATGTCTGTGAAAAGTAAATCCACAGCCAGATTTCTAGCTTCCTCCTGGGTGGAGGATGGGGCGTGGGGGTGTGGAAGAGAGGAGCAGCTGGTGGGAGCTCCCTCGCTGTCCTTTTCTCCTTGTCTCCTTATCCCTCCATCCACCCAGGCGTTCTGGCCCTGCTTTATTTGTTTACGTTGCAGGCCTAGCTTCTGAGAGACCAGGAGCTGGTGACTTCCCACGGGGAGCTAAGGAGTTAAAGGGCGCAGTTCTCCTTCTGCTTCAAGGTTGGTACCCCTGGGGAAATGGGAGCAAGGGCGGGAAGGATGTGGTTTGAGAGATTAGAATCTTCTATTCTACCTGTCAGAGGGATGTAAACTGACACTGTATGTCATGGTCTGTCTAGGTTGAAGTCTTTCCAGTCCTAGTCGCACACTGATATGGATGGAATGAAGACACCCTGTGCTAGATGAAAGGGCTAAAATCAAACAGAAAGGCGGCTTCAAGGCGACAAGTCAGTACCAGACCTCTATGGCTATTACAAAAATATTAACAACAGGAAAATGTTGACCTTTTTTCTTTTTTTTGGGGGGGGGGGATTTTCGAGACAGGGTTTCTCTGTAGTTTTTTGGTTCCTGTCCTGGAACTAGCTCTTATAGACCAGGCTGACCTCGAACTCACAGAGTTCGCCTGCCTCTGCCTCCCGAGTGCTGGGATTAAAGGCGTGCGTCACCACCGCCCGGCTTGACCTTTTTATTTAAAGAAAAGATCTTATTTTTGTAGCCCAAGCTGGCCTCCCATTCCATACACACTAAGGTTGGCATCATACTCATGATTCTCCTGCCTCAGACTCCCAAGTACTGACATTCTAGTTGTGTGTTCCCATACTCAGCCATAGGTTACTGCATTCCAGTTGATTCCAGCTGGATCTAATTACTCAGTCCTAGTGGCCTGTCAATCCTCCCCCTACACTCTTCACAAGCCATCCTTCAGATCTTGTTGTCCCTTTTGGTAACCTAAAGTCGATATTATCAATAGAGGGGACCTGTCTTACCCGTGTTAGACTGACATGTGCCAAGAAAGAAGGCATATGGGGAGTCATGGAGATGTAGGGAACGCCTGTCACAGGAGCCTTTGTCAATCACCTAACCTAATGGTTTTCAAATGCAGTATATGCAAAGGCCCATTCTGCTCGACTCTCTCGCAGGTAATTTACTAAAAAGAACCCCCTCAAAATAACACGGAGGCAGGACGTGTCTAATTGCTGATGTGGGAGTGTCATATCAATCTGTTGATTTCATTGGCTGAGCAATAAAGAAACTGCTGGCCCTGATAGGTTAAAAGATAGGTGGGCAGAATAAACAGAATAGAATTCTGGGCGGAAGAGGAAGTGAGGTCAGACTCTGCACTGCTTCCAGAGGGACCGGACAGCCGCCATGCTCTGCTCTCCCAGGCAGCTGCAACCCACGATGGACTTAGGCTAGAATCTTCCCGGTAAGCGCACCTTGGGGTGCTTACACACATCATTAGAAATGGGCTAGTCCAGGTGCGAGAATTAGCCTGTAAGGGTTAGAGTTCATGGGCCAAGCAGTTCTTAAATGAATACAGTTTGTGTGTTGTTATTTCGGGCATGAGCTAGCCAAGCGGCTGGGGTGTTGGGGATGCAGCCCTGCCGCCGCTCCTATTTCAACAAATTGCAATGGGACTTCACTGAAAGAAGAGTCAGGAAGAGTGGGTGATGGCACCAGGCAGGCTTTCAAGAGGATGATGCGTGCATATGAACCGAGACGAAAGTGGGCTGTCTGGAAAATGATGACTTCAGGTTACCTGAAGTGCAGCTGCAGTTGCAGCACGATCCTGATCTTCTGGGAAACCAGAGGGCAGACAGGTCAGCCTGCCGTGAAGTCACCCTGTTGAGTCAAAGCTTGTATGGGTCAGAATGCACGAGGAAGTGTTGCAGAGACATCATGAGTCTGTACAGACAATGGATGGCTGGGGAGGTTGGAAGGGAGCCACCGGTTGGGCTACAGTCCTCCTCTGGCACTCCTTTAACTCCCAACAGACACAATAAAAAGTGAGTCTCCCTGAAGGAACCTGCCACTTCTGCTGCGACCTCACTATATTCTGGCAGGAAAACTAAGAGAAAACAGACGCATTCCTAATGAGGTGAGAGGGCCAGTCTCTGTCCTGAAGGTTAAAGTGACCATTAGATCACACTCAGCTAACCTCTCTTTTACAGATAAGAGAAATGAGTGCTTATGACAGGGGTGGGGCCTCCAAGGTAAACTTGATCATATTGCCCAAAGGATTACAGTTCTGTTTTCCAAAAGGTAGCTTCTCAACTTCTTTGAAGACAGTCCAGCAATGCCAGTGTTTCCCTGGTATGCAGTTCACCAAGAGACCAGTCTTTGGCTCAGAGAGTTGCAGGGTTCACTGCAGGACCAAGGCTTTAGTCCCAGAGGTCCAAAAGTGCGACATGGCACCCAGGTTCGGCCTCCAGCAGTACCACTGTAGGAAGCAGCATTGCCCTTTGGCTCTGGAGATCCCAGCGTTCCCAAGGAGAAAGGTTTGCACCCCAAACTTCCCACAGTCCCGGGACTTTGACCAGCTGTCCTGGCGATAATTCCAGATCACTGTTTCCACCACAGGGATTGTAGAGTTCACCTGGCATCAGACCTTTGGATCCTGGGATCTCAGAATACACTATGAAACCCCAGCTTTCACTCGAGGGGCCCACAGTTCTGAAACCCAAAGGTTTCAGAGTTCACAGTAGAACCTTCAATCCCTGGGCAGGGCAGGGAATTGGGTCCCATGGCTCTAGGTGGCTGACTCTGACCTCAGTGGTTACAGAGTTGATTCTGAAAATGGTGTTTTGAACTTGTAAGGGGCAGAATTCCTACTGCACCAGGCTCCAGCAGTCACAGAGTGATCAAGGGACAACATTTTCACTACAGTGGTCCCAGAGTTCACTCCTCAACCAGGGTTTTGACTCCAGAGTTCCTGGGCAACGAGAGCTTTTCCTCCAATGCTCCCAGGTATAGAAAATTAGGCTATGTACTTAGTGTAAGTTACGCCATATTTTATTTTAAAAAAAAAAATGGCTTTCCAGGTTGTGCATTGCCGTAGGAGCCCCCATCTTCTAAACAGATTCTGACTCCATTTTGAGGGAGAACTTCTGGATTGCCTGTTTGTAGACTGTGTGAAAATGTAATGCTGTAATTGGTAGAATAAAGAGCTGAATGGTTAGTAGATAGGAAGGGGAGGATTGATGGATTTAAAGCAGGAGAGAGGGAGGGAGAGAGAGAGTCAGAGGGGTGCTTGGGGAGATGCCAACAGGACACAGAGCAAGTCGAGCACATGAGACAGAAGAAAGGTAGCTGAGTCATGTGATGGATCGGAGAGTAATAGAAACAGACTAATTAAGTTATAAGAGCTAGTTTTTTTTTTTTTTAATCCTAAGCTAAGGCCCAGGTTTCATGATTAATAGTAAGTCTCCGTGTCATTTTCTGGGGGCTAGTGATCCAAAGGTAGCCTGACAAGAAAGCTTGCTACACTGGATGGGCCCAGAAGCTCTACTATCTATCACATACCACCCAGCATCACGGGGTTATAAATATAAATGACTTATTCCTAGAAGTAGGAACAGAGCCACCCTATAAATTTTCTGGGGGTGAATTGAAACTATTGGAGCACCTGGGTGTATTAAAATCATATCAGTGAAACCAGGCCCAAGTGCTTATCAGACAAGCCAGACAAAGGATAGGGTGTAACTTCAGCACCTGGATCCCTTAAAGTGATAGGCACCCAATTCTGTGATGCCATGGTCTTAAGCCAGCCTATCACCTGATACCTAATATGTGAGCAAAGGGTCAAGAGCATCAGGCCCCTCACTTCTTGCTATTCTTGGAGCTTGGGTTCAGCTTAGTCTCATTGTTGACCTGGCCTACATGACTGCCTGCCCGTCTATCTGTTGGACATCTGGACCTGGAGCTAAACCCATTGTTTCCTGCTCTTGAATCCCTCCTTTGTCTTTCACCTTGCTGCTGATTGATCTATTATCAATACTGACACATTTTCAGCTCATTTCTGAAATCTCCTGGATTCCACTGCAGCCTCTTTAACTTGCATTCACATAGTAAACAGCATGTATGAACATAGATATCATTACTGTGTGTTGTGTGATATGGGAGTCAATATTAACAATATAATTGGAATTAAAGAACCCATACTTACCACAACTAGATTGCCAAGGCAGGTGGCATTACACCACTAATTGCTGTTATTAAAACTGTTGGACCTTGTGGATTTATTATTATTTTCAATGTTTTGAAACTGTGCAAATGCACAAACATATTCATTGGAAACTGTTCACCACAGGAGCAAATTTTTGGCACTAATGTTTCCAAAGTTTGATGCAGGGTGGAGGACTTGGCTCCAGCACTACCAGAGTTTGTTATGGAACAGGATTTGGTGTCACCAGCTCCATAATCTCACCAGTGATCAAGTCTTTGATCTCGAGGGCCCTTACTTCACCCTAGTGTTATGGTTTTGATCCCAGCCGTCCCAGAGTTCAATAAATTGAGACCTAGCCTTTGACTCTGGGAGTCCCACAGTGTCCTGAAGAACTGGATCTTTGGTTCCGGGGTGACAGAGTTCACCCCAGAACTGGTGAGGTCCCAGAGTTTGCCACAGATAAGCTACAATCAGCTAGACATAGATCAAACTGAAAGTCTAAATTGCTAAAAGCAATGGCAGAAAAAAAAGATAGGATATATTTTACCTAACAAGTTTAGGAGAGAGCTCAAGACAGAAGTCCAATGACACAGGAACTAGACCCCCTCCAAGAGTCAGCAAAGTAGAGTTACAAGACATTAAAAGATCTTCACAGCAAAGGAAACTATCAGCAGATCATACGGGCAACCGTAGGATAGGGAAAAACATTTACTGTCTATATTTCAGAGAGAGGGTTATACTATCCAAAACTGTAAGAGAGCTGCAAAATTTAAATACAAGAGCAGAGTACTTGCTGTTCTGGTGGAGGACCAAATCTCGTTCCCAAAACCCATGCTGAGCAGCTCACAACTGCCTATATTCTATCTCCAGGGGGGCCTAACACCTTTGACCTTCACAGACACCAGACCTTGAATGTACACACCCATTCAGAAATACACGGACACACACATGCACACATGTGTGCGCGCACACACACACACCATTAAATATAAAATAAATGTTTTTTTAAACTGCCAATTAAGAAATAGGCAAATGAAGTGAACAGACAGTTCTCAAAAGAGGAAACACAAGTGGTTAGTAAGTATTTTAAAGAACCAAGCATCCGTAGTCTCTGGTGAAATGCAAATGAAAACTGCTTTGAGATACCACCTCACCTTAGTCAAAACAGCTGCCATCACAAAATCTGACAGCAAAGTTGGGCTTCTATTTCTTTTAATTGTTGTGGCAGACATATTTGTATATACATATATATATTCCTAAATACATGAGTACAACCTGC